AATGTGTTTTGCCTGAATCGTTACACTTGACACTCATCCGCAGATATTAGCGCGAAAATACTCTTTCGTTACCCTGTAGTCTCAAAATAATGTCGCTTGCTCATCAGTCTGAGTTTAAGATTTTCACCTTCATTTAACGTTTTCGTATTGTTCTGGTACTCCCTTGATAGAAAGTCTTGAGTCATATGAAATTAATACCCGCCCACAGTACAATAAAAACACTTCCATTCCATGATCGTAAAACAGCGATGCGCATCGGTGTCCAAAAAGAACAAAAAACTATCCGGCACCGGTGCACATCTGTGTACAACCAATGCCAATAAAATATTTTTTTGAGGGTCAGCCATCAACAAGCAACCTTTTGAATATAAGACAACAATGTTGTTTTCGGCAATCAGGACAAATGCTTAGTTCATACAACATGTTCATCTTTCCAAAGAAGATATCCAGAAAATACTTTTAGGTGTGGTGTGTCATCTACAAGTCTTCCTCTCCTAATTACACCTAACTGAAAGTCAGTGTCGTGATTTTTCACGCACTTTACTGCATAATTTCAGATTGTCAGTCTTTAGTGAATGTACTTGCGAGTGGATACTTGTTTACTTGCAGATGTTCACGGGTGGTGGGCAACCCTAATGAAAGTTTTTTTTTGATTTCTTGACCAAGATCTTGCCTCACGAAATGTCCCAAGATCTTGCGTTTCTTGGGCAAGAAAGTGACACTTCGTTTTCTTGCATTTCTTGGGGACAAGATCTTGTCCCAAGAAATCCAAGAAATTTAATTTTTTGTTCCAAAGAATATACAACTAGATTTCTTGACCCACGAAATAAGCAGAAAGGTACGTCTTGCTTTCTTGGCTGAAGATTTTGGATCAAGAATCGCAAGAAGTATTTTCTTACATTTCTTGGCACAAAATCTTGAGCCAGGAAAGCAAGAAATATTTCTTGTTGCAAGAAGTGTCCCACTTTCTTGTTTTTTCCTCGCTTTCCTTGCTTCCACTAGGGAAGCACTTGACAAGTATTTTCAAAAAGTACTGCTTGATAAATGCCTGAAAGCACTTATCTGGCACTTGATTTACTTTTTGAATGCCACACAGGTACTTGGAGGTTACCTGACAAGTTCTTGGCAAAGGACTTGACAAGAAGTTAAAGTAATTCAAGCAGTTGATTTTCTTGACAAGTACCTGTTTTACTTGCAAAAAAGTCCAAGATCGTTGGACAAAACTTGTGAGGGTGCTTGAACAAGTAGCTGTATGCAAGTACATTTACTAGTGACGCCATCTGTCACCTATAAGCTGATACGCTATTTCTTTTCGTCAATAAATTGTAATTATTTTGACAAAAATACAAAACCAAACAAGCAAATACGAAGTTTTGGACTGTACAAGAGAAAGAAGAGAGAAAAAACAACAGCTGATCATCTTTTACTCAAAACAAAATTTCAGCCTTCTAATGTAAAAAAATCAAATAGGTCCTATGCACATAGTTTCGCATAATAAAACCATTTAATTATTCATAATCGCCGTTACGATCTAAATTGCAATATGCATAGGTAACATTTTGATAACGGAAAGTCACGGACTATAGGATGATTTCCCTATGGATAAAAAAAGTCCTATACATTAGTATGCCTAGCAAAACTTTTACACATAACCACGCATGAGACTCTTTTATACATAGGGTCCTGTGAATCATGCATGGTTATTTTGAAAAAATGTGCAAAACTATTAATGGTAACTTTAGTTTATCTGAAGACTTCATTAAAAAACAGCTAAAAAGCAAACAGTTCGACTCCTCCTTTGCTTCCACCATTCTTTATTAAAGATATGTAGGACGCCATTTTATCGCGTTACAAGACTATCTTTTTTGCTAAATTTTTGTCGTTAACGGATTCTGGTGTAGTTAGAACTAGAACAGTTGACAGTGATCATCAAAAAATAGTAGTAAGATATTGAACTGAATCAAATAGAAAACATTTTTTGTTATATATTTTTTATTTATTGTAGTATGTTGTTTTTGAGTCTCTTAAACTATTTTGAAAACATTATAAAAAATGAAACCATCCTCAGAAATCTGTCAACGAGAATAAATTTTACACCACTCTGTTTTCTCGTTGTGACTGGAAACTGCCGGACACGTTGAGACTAGGATAGAAAAAAGTGACTTTGCTTTCACAGTCTTCACAATGGCGCTTTTATTTATAGGCTGCAACGCATAGGCTGAAATCAATCTCTACTATGATTTTATTTTTGTCCGTAGTTTTTATGTCTTCTACTATTGCTAGTAACCTTTCTACGAATATCTCTGACGGTCCGTTGTAATTTGCGTTGTGCTTAGGCTGAACAAGGCGTAAATGTTTTGGCCAAATGACGGAATAATGTAATGAAAGTGGATGAAATTTTTTTGTTAGTCAAAATATTTACAAAGGTCCAGAGTTGCCAACTCTTTCGATTTATCGGAAATTTTCCGGTTTCTAGAATTTTTACTTTTTTTCTGGAAAGTACATATTCGTAAAAGAATTCATTTGATTAACATGACGTCATAAAGCTTTTTTTCACGTGTGTCACATATTTGATTGATATTAATTGTAAACAGTTTTATAATTTAATTCTATCTAAACAATATCTATCAAAAGCAGTATGTAGTCAAAAAGATCCACAAATGCAATTGGACGTACTTTGTTTTTGTTTCACAGTTTACTGTTTTAAGTATTTTATATGAACGAAAGGTTAAATGAAAGTCACAAACGAAACAGTCAATGCTTGACATATTGGATTCAACAGTTGTTGAATGTATTTTTTTCTGCTGGAAAAAAGAACACTTGTTACTCTAGCAGAAAAGGCTGTTACCTTTAACTTGTTAAAGTATTCTAAAAAAAAATGGTTCTTTCGATTTTCCATACCTTCTCTTTCTGACTTTTTCCGATTTTAACGGATTTTTTTTCCGAACTGTGGATTTGTTTAGAGTCAACATTGTGAAAAGATCTGGTTGATATTGCTTGTCTAATTAAAAGTTGTAATGGAATAAAAACGTTTGGTACAAAAACAAACAGTGTTTTATTAAATCGTTATTTGAAACAACTGCATCAAGCTGGTCTTCAACAAACGTGTCATCGACTCATCAGTTAAAGTGATATTTGAATTTTTAACACAACATTCAACTTTTAATTGAAGGTATGCATGAAATTTTTGGCTAGAAATTATTTTCGTTCATTAAAATTAACTGTGTTATGATTGTGTGATTTTATTGAATTAGCTTGTGATCAATTGATACTGGTCATTCGATTTATTGAATACATGTCATTTAATCAGAATAAATTACTACGTATAAGAGTATTTTCCTTGTTACGAATGTTTGAACGAATAAAATAACATTATTATTGAAAAAATAATGTCAGATAATAAACAAGATACAAAAAGATGGTATAGATGAAAAATCATCAAGAACGTTTTAGTTTTATTAGTCCTATAAGTGAACATGCAATGATGTAAGATTAACAGTTAATGGACAATTAAAAGAGTTATAAATTAAAATTTATACAAATGAATATCCTTGAAAGATCCGTTAAATATGGGATATACAGAAGAACAAATCTACGAGATTATTCAGCAAACATTAAACAAGAAAGAGAAAGAATATTTACCAGTTAATATGTTAGTTAAGCGTGGATGTAGACCATTGAGACATCTTTTTTAGTGTGAGTTATTTGAGTTGCGAGGATATCTGCTACTGGAATGCAAGGTACTAGTAAGAGTATGCTTTCTGCTGCTTTTCTGACTAATTTTTACGTTCTTTATACGCTCTGTCAATCTTATCGATGTGCTGTGATGTTAAAATACTATTTTCTGAATCGATTTTTCTTTTTTACGGTATCGTTTTCTGCAGTGGTATTGCATGATTTTTACATGTATCTGGCTTAATTTTTGCCGCAATAGAGAGATTCTTAGTTTTTCAATTGAGACGTTATCACACTTTGCCACACTATTGTCTATTAAAGTATACAAAACTAACCCACCTGGGAAGCTAGACGACATAGATTCTATCAACCTTTTACAGAGTGCTTTATCAAATTTTTGGTTTTTTAGGGCATCAAAGATGCTGTATAAAACACGAGTTTTTCGAACTACATCTAGATATTCAGCGCATGGATGTGTGAATGGCAGTTTCTCATAATAAAGCAAGAGAGATTCTGTTTTTCTTTTGTTTTGGTCATGCGTTGCTACTGTCCTTCACTTATGTATATGCAACGCTTATTCATTAAGAAATAATGCAATAAAAAAACTAACGTTATAGTTAATGTATTTTGATAGCTTTGAAAATCCGTTTTGAATAGGATACTATATGTTCTCTAGTCATTATTAAGTTATGCAGAATGTCTCTCACTGAAAAATACTTAGACTGTAATGATCATTCCTATGCAAAATTTTGTTGATGACTCTCTGCTGTCAACCTAAACATAGATTGCTTTTTCTGTTCTGTGATGTAATCTCTTTCTGAAAACATGTCCTGTCTACTTTCGTTCCATCTTTTCGATGCTAAGATCACTTGTATCACTCTCTATCAATAAGGTCTCTCTATAACTTATCACACAGTTGACAGGCTTTGATCACTGATTAAAGATATGATCTGTATGGATTGAGATGTAGTTGAACACACTATAAAGGTGCACAGGATAATGATCAAAACACCTCAAAGTTTACTTTTGGATAATTTAGTCCAAAAGTAAATTCTTTTCATATGAATTCAAAGTCCAAGTGTTCTATTCCATCAGCTGTGCAGTATTGTTTTGTGCTTTGCTTCTTTCTGCTCTATCTTTATCTCTCTATCAATCAATCAAATCAAACTGTCTGTATGCGTTTTAGTCAATTTCTTGGTAAACTAGCTCCACAACATGAGTGAGTGTCTTTCGAATACTCTATTCTCTTATTTCAGATGGCATTATTTCGCTTAAATCAAATTCTGGTTATCATTTATAACATTTTTATTTTTACACAATTGCTAATGCATGCGTCTTGTGAACGATGTGTGAGTGCATCACTCCATTATAGATTTATTATTCATTGTCTTGAGAAAGAGTGTTCATTTCGCTTTAGGATGATGTTCGTACTATATTTACCGATTGTGATAATGACAATAAACTAAAATGGGTTGTTGCCGTACCTAAAACGGAAAAATCATGTGGAGATAAAGAAGTACCACCACCAGAATCTGTACCGTGCGGTATGTACACTCGTATTTTTTTTATCAATATTTCATGAAGTGATTGCATTCATTACTGTTAGATTCACGATGTGTGTCTGGTGAATTTTTCGATATCAGCACACAGAATTGTAACAAATGTCCAAAAGGAACTTTCTCCATCGGTGGTGGTGTTCGTTACACATTTGATCAAAGTATAAATTTACCATCAGCTTTTACTGTGAATTCTTACTCGATTAGTGATAGTGTGATAGATGATTCTCCTTTTGGGAATGACGATGACGGAGATGATTACTCACCGCGAGAAACCGGTTGTGACCCGGTGTATGTATTCATGACTCAGAAAAAACATTGTCTTTATTCTTATTTTTATTCAAGAGGATGGACAATCACTGGCAATGCCATTCGATCAAATACTCGTCCCAATTGTGTCTCACAATTATTGCTAAAAACAACATTAATAAATCGGGGTCACATTAAATTTATTTATAATATAGTTGGTGATAGTTACGCTTTCCTTGAAGTAAATTAGATCGTGCTGAATAGTTAAAGAAGAACATTATTGTCATTTTTGGTTTTAGATTAATTCGGATTGTGGAGATAAAAAACAACGGAAAAAGACCGAGCAATATTTTTTGAAATCAACAGGAAAAGGTGTATGGAAGGAGATGGGGGTACAATATTAGCTACAAGACTTAACATTCTATCAGAAGAAAAATAGTGTTGTGCTTGTATTTTTATTTCAGAAGGATTTAGGAAGCAGTGGTCAATATCGACTCTCATTTTATGTTGTGGGTATCATCGATGATCATTTTCCAGTATCAATAAAATCAATTGAAGTTGATGGTAGAAGATACTCATGACATGTTAAACTTTTTGAGTGAAACAATATTTTCTTTCGTAGGTGTCTCTTCTGACTCAGAATGTCAGGATTGTCCAGCAGGAACTTTTTCAAATGAAATTGGCGCTTCAAACTGCACTTTATGTCCAAGAAATACATTTTCACCAATACACTCAACAAAATGTACTGAATGTAAATATAACGAAATTTCTGGTGAGTTCGTAAGGCCAATGTTATACATATGAAGAAGAAAATCGCGCGATCTTCTGTCGTTATTTATATTAATTATTTTTTGTTTTTACAATTAACGTTTTCTTTCTTTTGTCTGCAGACGAAGGTTCATCTACATGCACAGCTAAAATGCCATGTAAAGAGTCTGATTTCCAAGTTGTTTATTCAGAATGTAATGAATTTAATAAAGTTAGTTTGAATTCCTGCCTCTATTTTCAATGTTTTAATACTCATTTATCTTTTAGGCCCGAAAAACTTACGTGGCTGTCGAGCCGCAGATATGTTACGATAAACCTCCCATTTCTGGTGATGGAGATGAGATACAATGCAAACCGTGTAACCGGTAAACAATTTTATATAGAAAAACAAAAACTTATGAATGAACTGTTATGATTTTTTTACGTTTTAAGAGGCATGTATAAACTTCCAAATGGCACTTGTTCATTCTGTCCGGATAATACATATTCAGATGGAACACTGACAGGTAAAACAAGACAAAAATTGTTCTTTCTAACAGTAGTGATAATATTTTTCTTTTGTTATAGAGTGTCAGATATGTCAGTCTGGTTCATCAGCTACAACCGGTCTTTACTATTCAAATTGGCATGTTATGCCGCCGTATTTGCTTCGATTATGTTTCGACTCAGAATTATCCGATGGTATATGAAACACAAAAATCTTAATGTTTCTTGAAATTTGATGTTTTTATTTAGATAATATGTGTTTTGGTAATCAAAGCTGGATTATGAATATGGAATATTTAAGTTCGAAAATAATTGGTCGTACTTATAGTCTTCTTAAGTTAGAAATAGAAAGAGGTTTTAAAACTACAGTTATCACTGATTATTATGGTACATTGTATTTCAAATTCTCAATGACATGTTCACTTCCGTGTGAATTGTATTTAACACAATCTGTACGTTGTTAAATTCTTTCTGATTGAAAAATTGTTTGCATTGATTTGTTTTTATTTTTACTCAAGGATTTGGATAGTGACGAACTCAGTATAATTAACAGCTGGCAACAGAAGGCCAATAATGTTGGACAAAATAATACCATTGAATATCAGTAAATGAAAAATTATTAGAATTTTATTTTTATTTATACAGTTTATTTTCAAAGGTATTCTATTCGTGAAAATTCATCAGTAGCATTTACTTGGATATTTGGTCGAATGTCGTCATCGGATAAAATTAGCAAAAATGATGATATTATAGAAATTCGTATATATGAAATACGTGTGACAAATACAATGGATGGAGGAGCCGACAGTTGTGTTGCATGTCTAATGATGGATAATAATCAGCAAGGGTAAAATACACTCTCTGCTATATTATTGAACGTTTATTAATTGTTCTTAGTTTAGATGTCGTGCATGTCAACCAGGCTTCATCATTTCAAATGGTACATGTGTACGTTGTAAGGAGAACACAATCGTCAGTAGTAATATAAGATCGGAAAAGTACATTGATAGTCAAATACAAAAGTGTGTTCAATGTCCAAATAATACAATTTCAAATGACGGTATTAAATGTATAATTAACTGCAAACAAATGTTTGGAACACAATTTAATTATGATTTAAGTCGAATATCGAGGTATATTTATTTAAATTAGTTGGATTTTACTGACAATCTGGAATTCTGTTTGAAACATAATGTCATTTTATTTTAACTTTCAGAGTTGAATTTCAAAGTTCAAAACTATTCTCAGAACTTGGCTATGGTTATTTTCATATGTTTAATGCAAGTATATGTGGTTCTAGTATTAGTAGATGTGTAGCAAATGAGACATCTGTAAGTATAATTGTTGATTAAGTGGAAAGAAAGTCTAAAATTTTTTCATTCAATTTTATTTTTTACAATAATGTTCGATGTTTAATTTTAGAAAGTGGGAAAAGATCGTCGTATATCTGTTGAATCACGACTATGTCGAACACTATTAACTACACCAAGTAATAATCTGACAAATGGTATAACAGTTGATGAGTATGTTTAGAAAAATTTAGAATGTAGTTGTCCAAATTATTTACATTATGTAAATTTTTCTTTTAGTTTTGGTGAAGAACTTGTTAATGTTAGTTTATGGAGTGATTTAAAAACCTTTCCACTTTTAAAAACAGATAATAATTTATCAGATTTGACACTTGTCTTTCGTGCTTCATCGTAGGTTATTTCTACTTGTTTATCGGTTAGTATTTTATCTATTTTATGAAAATTATTCTAGATCTAAATCGGCGTGTAATGAACGAATTACATTTCTATCTTTACGTTGTGATAATCAAGTAGAAAAAGCAACAAAATATAAAGTGCAATATCCAGCCGATTCCAACTGTGTTTCTGGTACATGTGATGGTTGTACATTTCGTTTTCTTTTACGTACAATAGATGCATGTCCCATGTGTGAAGAGTCATCTGGATATGACATATTTAGAGGTGAATGTCATCTAGGAAAACAACAAATTAGAAAAACACCAAAAAGGTTTGTTTAACGATGATTTGTATTACTCAATAATCTTTTACCTTGTTTTATAATCTTAGTTATTGTACAGGACGACTCCAAGCACGTACTGATATTCAAAAATGTTCTCTATTAACACTAGAAATAGAAATTGTTATTTTTATTAGTCTAATGATCGCTATTATATTATGTGTATCATTGATTTGTTGTTGGAAGAAAAACAGAACGTATGTACACAGTAACGTGATAATTTTACCCCTTGAGTCAAACTTGATCTACCCTAATTTTTAGTTTACAATATCGATATATGCAATTGATTGAAAATGTAAACCCGGATGATGATAATCCCGTTGATAACGTTTGTAGTACCGCTTTAGACGATGATGATGATGAAGAAATTGATATGAAAAAACAATCAAAAGCAAAAAAGCTAATGAACGTGTTTAGTAAAGCATTAAAAAAAGTATGAATTCTGTTTTACTTCAAAACTAAACTTATAAGAAGAAGAGTTAGAATTAAAATAGTGCTTCTTTATCGATTGCTCTGATTCCTAAGTGATGTTTGAATAGAAAACTTGAATAGTTGGACTTGTCTTCTATTCTCAGTGGAGCTAGTTAACAGTTTATAAACTAAATAGTTGCATCTTGTTAGTTCATTCGTGAATTTCTCTTTTTTTTCAGAATGATAATCAATTGCGTGAAGACTTTCTATTGACAAGTGAAGCATAATTCGACGTAATGAAATTAACTAATGTTCTACTGGATAAAATTAACTCAATATTCTGAATACTCTTATGTGTAATTTTTTCACTGGCGCTTATGTGTAATTTGTTTCGCTCATTATCTGACACAAAACACTTTCGTTTTTTATTATCAAACTCCAATCAACATACTGACAATATCCGGTTGACATTCCTTTCTTTCGATAAAAGACTAAAACTTTGTCAGACCAATTTTTTATTTCAAAAACAGTGATATATTTTTTTGTTTTGAGTACAGTAGTTATTTTTCTGCAGTAGTTGAAGTATTGAAACTACTTATTTCTCTTTCATAGATCTCTTTTTTCCTTTTACTATTCTTTTAGTATCGGATGAAAGTAAACCAGTATTTTTAACGCTTGTTTTACCGTCCAAAACGTGAAAAAACAACAACACCTGACTAATCAAATTCTCATTGTATATGAATCTCGACAATGTTATTTTTTATTATTTTTCCTTTCATTTTTTTAAGAAATAATTTGATGTTTATGTGCGAGTGTGTTATCGTTGTTATTCTATTTTTCTATTAATTATTGCTTGTTTTTTTAATGTTTCTTTAATATTATCTCTGACAAAAAAATAATAATCAAATAATATCTGACTAGATCTTGTTTGTTCTTTTGCACTTAATTTATCGAAAAGGTTTAATAATAATTAAGTTAAACCGGTGTTTCATAAAAATTCTTAAGTGTTCGACTTAAAACTAAGTTTAGACTTAAGTGTATAAAATTAATACGTATGTGTACAAAAAAAGGGGGACTTAAGTCTAGACTTAGTTAAGTTGAGCACTTACGAATTTTTATGAAACACCCTCCAGATCCATTGCAGTTTAAAAGACGTTTCGCATGATTGACTCGTTATCTGATGTTCTTTGGATTAACAAGTAGTTTATATTTATTTATTTGACTTTGTCCGATATCTGTCGTTCACGCTGATTCTTATATTAAGGTTCAACGAAAAGTTTTTATTGGTTTTGTATGACATTTCTACTCTTCCTATGTATATCGTGCGCTCATGGTAATTCTTTCATATCCGAGACAATTTCTCGATTCTCTGCACAACACCCAAACTGTAAAAAGTAGAAGTGTTGGCTGTCTTTCCTATATCAATGCACTGCTTATTTACAAAACTTATTTCATAGTATCAGACAGTAACTGTTATCACATTTCTCTTATCCACATTATAAAAAAAAGTAACGGCCAAAATCCACAGGAAAAACGTTCCATCAAGAAAACTGATGCAACGTTTTTCGTGTGACTTTATATATGTTGTCTTAACGGTTTTTCTGTAGTAACGATATCAATATATCCGGTTGGATTATGCTAAAATTTTTACCGTAACATCACTTCTCTTTAGTTTGACAGGATTTTCTATTGGTTGAAACTGACCAACGGGATAAAAGTAATGTTACATCGTTACCGTTATATAGTTTAGTATGTTTTTCCTGTTACATTCTTCAGCAATAAATAACTTAGCATGTCACGTTATTAATATGACAGAAAACGGGAAAGTCGTTGTATGGTCTGTTTCTGCTGTTGATTACTGCATTTCTTTTTTTGCATGTTAGTGTGGGGACTGACGGATTGTTGTACAATTAAAAAATGCAATCATTAGCGGATGCATATATGTTAGGTAAAATGAAATTCATTGGGTGAATCTATTAAATTAAATAAAGTTTTTAATTAGAAAAGTTTTGGCGTTTTTTGTTTTTTATGGTTAGCCGCAGTTTTCTAAATAAATGCATTTTTCAC